AAAATGACGGAGTAATTAAAGGGTTAGTTCACCCAAAAATGAAAATTAGGCTGTGTTTTACTCACCCCGAGGCATCCTAGGTGTATATGACTATGATTCTTCTTTCAGACAAATCCAGTCGGAGTTATATTAAAAATTGTCTTTGATCTTTCAAGCTCTATCATTGCAGTCAGTGGGTGTTGCATTCCTTCAGTCCAAAAGAAGTGAAATAAAAAGCGCCCTTCCATAAAAAAAAGTGTCTCACACGGCTCCGGGGGGTGAACAAAGGCCTCCTGTAGCGACTCGATGCATTTTTGTAAGAAAAATATCCATATTCAAAACGTAATAATCACTTGAAAGTCGCACTGAGGCAACCCTCTCGTCCACCGGGCTAAACCCAAATACTGTGGTGCCAAGTCGAGGACTTCTGAGTAATCCCACACCTGCTTGATGCCTCTCACCCTGGGTGACTCCAGAGAAGGAGAGAGTCCAACCCCTCTCCAGGAGTACCAGAAGTTCCTGTCCAGGTTCCACACCCTGAGCTGAGCATGGACGTGTGGGCATCTTTATCTAGCCTGTGTCACTCAAGCTCCCGCACCCAACTCCGGCTCCGTCCCCACCACATTCTGTATACCAAAACAAATGTTCTGCTTGCACTTGCCTGCCACCAATTTTACATTGCACCAGTCCCCTATATATCTCCTTGCACCCCAATGGGTCAGAGGCTGGTTCCCAGGCCTGGTTCCTGGAGAGGGCCCCGGTATCCCTACTCTGGGCAAGGTCTCGTCAGTCTTTTTTTGACATTAGGGTCTATGTTGGATCAGTCTTTGTCTGGCCTCTTACCTGGGTCCAATTTACTTTGGGGGCCCCAACCAGGAGCTAATGTTCCAGACAACTCAGCTCCCAGGGTCTCTGAGGCTTCCACCACGTTAAGGTGGTGATCCAAGGTGGGGCTTATTTTGCACACCACACAAACCCAGTGAACTGGTAAATGAGCTCACACTGAAATTGATGGGCAACCAGATGTGATTGAAGTGGACAATTACATTAGCAATTTATGTCATTGTAGTTTCATAATGCTGAAGAACTGTAAAACAAATGAACACTTACATGGAGGAATATAAGAGTCAGATCAAAGTATGACAATAAGTCTGTAAGTGAGAATAAGAATGATTTCCTTGATTATGCAGTATTCATTTCATCTTCATGCACATCTATTCAAGAGTAAAGTGAAAACATTTCTGGCTAAATGGCAGTAATACAACGAAACAATGAATGGATGACACCAATCTATAATCTGACTTGAGATGCAGCCTGGAATCATAACAACACAAGGGTTGTGACGGTGAGAACATTTTCACGTCGACGTGTGGCAACACCAGTAATACCGGAATAAAAATACACCATGCTATAGACCTAATATTAAATAACAAATAGCTTATACAAAGTTAAATTATAAAAAAACCAACAACAACAACAACAACAAAAAAACTGAAAATCAGCAAATACTATAAAACCAAATAAATAAGAAACATAGAACGTTTATTAGCAAAACGAACAAAAGCTTGGAGGCATGGCATACACCTTGATGTAAAATAAAATAAATAAAGTAAAAATCAGCAAGCACTGTGGAACCAAATACATAAGAAACAAATGTTAAAAAAATCTTCCAAAATCACCTTAGATAAACTGTATTAGTCAACAGGTTTTTTTCAAAATCAAAAATATCGCCAAACAGGTGTTTTTGCATTTAGTTTTGAAACTAAATCTTCCGCCATCATCTTGTCTTTCTCATCTCACACTTCTTGTCAGTAAACTCGACTCATAGTGGGCAAGTGACGTAACTGATGTTGCGACTTAACACCTGTTATGGACATTTTTTATTTTGTTAAAGGGGTCATATGATGCGATTTCAATTTTTCCTTTCTCTTTGGAGTGTTACAAGCTCTTGATGCATGCCATGAAGCGGGCGAAGAAAGTGATGTCGCGAGGTATCTCAATGAACGTTATTTTTCTGTCCATAACCCTTCAGCTCAGGTGAGCTTTCCTTTCTTCCTGTTTTCCATACAGAGATTGAGAAGGAATGGAAGAGGCCGTTTTTCCTCACGCATCCATCGATTCCAGCATACGAGTTATGCCAACATCGAGGCGATGCGCAAAAACGGGTATGAGAA